CAACTCAGTACACGTCCACTATGGCTACGTCTTTGCTCCTCTGGGGGGGCCAGCTCCACAAGCACCTCGACTACACTAAGACAACCTCACGTTAAATTGCTCACGATCCACTTCACTGTCGAAACCCTTGCGGAAATGCCATGTTTGCGCTTGGACGTCTACTATTTACCACAGTTATGGACAAACTTGATTCAGAAAAGGACCATAAATTATTACAGCAAAACTTAGCATGAAAATGTCATGTTGAGAACATTTCAACTAGAACATAAAAGGTTGGCTGTTCTTCCCCACATAAAATATGGTTGTATTCTATGGGGCGCCTGGGTGGCTCAGTCGTTAAGCGTCTGCCTTCGGCTCAGGTCATGATCCCGGGGTCTGAGGATCGAATCCCACACCTGGCTCCCTGCTCCGTGGGAAGCCTGCTTCTCCCTCTTCCTTCGCCTGCCGCTCCCCCTGCTTGTGCTCACTCTCTCCTGCTATCTCTCTCACTCTGTCAAATAAATAAATCAAATCTAAAATATATATACACACACCCTGTAGGCTGCATCCACCCCATTGACATGGCAGCCTTCCCCTGCGCAGATCCGGCTCGGTCCCACACCGCTCGCACAACTTCGCAATTTGTGTGCTTGGAGGGCATACCCACTCCAGAGGCAAAGTTTCGGCCCTTCCCTGGCCTCACCCAGGCTTCTGACACATTGACCCTGAGCTCAAGGGAGCCGGCCATAGACTGGGCCTCAAGGGTAGCCTGAGGCACATGGATTTAAAATAATTTTCTAGGGGCGCCTGGGTGGCTCAGTCATTAAGCGTCTGCCTTTGGCTCAGGTCATGATCCCAGGGTCCTGGGCAGGAAGCCTGCTTCTCCCTCTCCCACTCCCCCTGCTTGTGTTCCCTCTCCCACTCCCCCTGCTTATGTTCCCTGTCTCGCTGTGTCTCTCTCTGTCAAATAAATAAATAAAATCTTTAGAAAAAAAATAAATAATTTTCTAAAAAGAGCTGTTAATCCTTGTAGTGGATTACCAAAGGTCAGTCTCTTTCTCCAGTGGTCCTTAGAAATAAGGTTGATTTTCACATCGTGGCTTTAGGTAAAGTCCCCTGAAGGTCAGAGGATGAAATTGGTAGACCTACAGAGAGGAAAGTACAAAGGGGATGCAAACTACTGTTTGTTATTATTGAACCTAAAAAAATTAGGAGTTTCAAGCAGCTGTATTGGCAGGGGTAGACCATGGGGTTCCTCTGCTCACTTCTGCGAAGGGAGAACAATACCTTGTGAGTAGAGCCAGCCGGCTCCCACCTTCGTCCCCAGCATACCCACAGCCCCATGCCCACCCCCCACCCCCCACCATCACCCAGCCCCCGGCTCCCCTGCCCCCGCTCGACAGAAGTCTGTCTTTGCCTCACTACACAGGCTCTGGCTGTGCAGGCTGGAATTAGCGTGGGCAGGACCCAAGAGGATCGGAGATTGTCCTCACCCATTTACACGAGAGAAGAGCAAGGGATGGATATGACAGGATAGAGAAGAGGGGGAGAAAGACAAGAGCCAGTGTGGGCTGGGATTTGGAAGTCTGGACAGTCACTGAAGTTGTCAGAAGTTAAAAAAAAAAAACTGACAAGGAATGTGAGGGGCGTGTGTGTGTGTGTGTGTGTGTGTGTGTGTGTGTGTAGAGATAGACCGAGACAGAAAGTTTGGGGGCTAAAATTAGATTCTTTTGGTGTTTTTTAGGAGACTTCAGTAAAACTCTAAATTACTTTTCAGTTCCTCTTTAAAAGTCTGTCTGGGCTTCAGCTTAATCAGGGCTACATGACAGAACAGTAGCCAAGGGTGCCTGGGTGGCTCAGTTGGTTAAGCGACTGCCTTCAGCTCAGGTCATGATCCCAGAGTCCTGGGATCGAGTCCCACATCGGGCTCCCCCTGTTCTGCGGGGAGCCTGCTTCTCCCTCTGCCTCTGCCTGCCACTCCCCCTGCTTGTGCACTTTCTCTCTCTCTGTCAAATAAATAAATAAAATCTTTAAAAAAAAAAAAAGAACAGTAGCCAAACGGAGAAAATGCTAGCCGGTCCACATAGTCAGATCTTCCCACTTGAAATCACCCATCAGTTTTCAGATGTCACGCTACTGTTTACACCCTGCACTGGGCACAGTGTCTTATCAGAAACAAATTGACCAAAAGAAATATTTGATCAAAATGTTTCATTGAATGGTCTCGTTGATCAAAGAAAAAAGTCATCTTGAGCAAAGCATTTCTTGACTGCCACGCAGACGTTATGAATGGACAATCATGTTACCATCTCAAGGTCCACTACAGTCGAGAAATGAGAAACAGAGGCGCTTTAACAGAGGGTTCTCATGCACCCTCAGGACGATCAAAGTTTCCAAGTTCAAGGAGGTAAACAGCTCTGAATTACCTCCTCCCGCTCCCCAAGCTCTTCTTCTTTTCCTGCTTCTGCCACAGGAAAGGGGCCTGAAGAGGGTCTGCAGGCCTTTCACCCACCCCATGGCAGTAATTCATCATTGCCTCTAGAATGCGCTCCATATCAAACTGTAGGCTGGTGCTGGGTGGTAGGGGGTAGGAGGCAGAGATGAAAGGCAGTCCTCACCCTCCAGGAGCTTCTGCCTGAACAGAGGAACGGACAGACAGGTGACCCACCCTGCAGAGCAAGGGGGAGAAGTGTTGCCAGAAAGGCACGTGGGGACATGAGGTTGTTCATGGGTCTTGTTGCACAAAGGGTGTGGTCAGAGTCGACATCAGTCATCAGCGCATAGGAGACAGAACACGAGTCCTGAATAAGTAGTAGTAATTAGCCAAGCAAAAAGGCATTGGAAGGGAAAATGGAAAGACCCTTCCAAGCAGAGGGAATGTGCAGTGACTTCATCACTGCTGGCCTCACCCCTGGCCTCACATTGTATCATTATCCTCATGCTATAAATGAAGAAACAAATTCCATAAGGTTAAGTGACCTATTCCCCGGTCACTTATCTTGTAAGCAGTGAAACTAAGATTTAAACTTAGTACCACACTCCCTGCCTCTTTATAGAACTTGCTCTCTGAAGGTGAATCCTTCTTATTTAGTGATACTCACATATTCCTCACACCCTACCTCAGGAACACCTAGGGTGAAAGCAAGTGCCCTTTACTCATTCTGGGAAGAGGTCCAAACTATTACAGATTCAAAAATCATAGAATTTTAGATTCTCTTCTTCAAATCAGTTTAAGGAAACTGCATAAAGAAGCCCCCCCACCCCCGGCCCCTCTCACACACAAATATTTAAGAGATTCACAGTGTATATTGATATACGAAAGGCACTGACAAGTCCTGCAGGAAAAAAAAAATTAATGTTAAATTTTGTTTAACACAATGTGTCTAAAATATAACTGACTATGGAAACCTTCAACCTACCTCCTCTTTTTTTTTTAAACAACACTTATTAACACCTTTAAAGACATTCTGCATTCTGTATCCAATCTTCTTATTGCAGTGATGAGGAAACTGCAGTCCAGAGGGTTGGGAGCTCCCTCTGAGCATGTGCTAGTAGCGGAGCCAGAACTCAGTTCACCAGACTTCCTTCCAGTCAACACTCTCTCTGACAAATCATGCTTCAATATGTCCATTCCATACTTCCAGTACGTAAACAGTATGCACAGCACATAAATTGATAACCTTGTAATTGTCAACTTACAAATTACCCTTTACAAAGAAATCCGTAGGTGAGAGCTGAGATCATGTATACAAGTTTGAAGTGTGTTTATATACACTATTAATCGCCCTTGTCATGGTTTATATTAGTTATCCAAGTCTTGCTGATATCAACTGTTGATCTTCACAGCCTTCCCACTGAAATACTAATACCAATAACAACTACTAGCTCTCTCAATGAGAAGGATAACATTAATATATTGATGCCAATTTCTAGGGTTTATCTTTATGCATTCACTTAAATGGAACCAAAGCTGAAGAAATCAGTCGTTAACAAGATAATCACAAAACAAATCTTTGTACCAAGTGCTGTGTTGCTAGATCAAATCCTATTATTACTAACTAAAAAGAAAATTCTTTACTTGGCAATTCAGTTGGAATCCAGACAGCACAAAAAAGGGAGGCGGGGAGGAGGAGTGGAAATCTTTTTGTTTTGTGAAGATTTATGTTATAACAATATTTGTTATATAAAAATTTAAGTTTTGCTTGAATGAAAGTTTTTTAAAGGTAATATACAAGTGAAAAAACGCATTTCAAGAGTAGTCAGTGCCCAACTTTGGAGAGTATTTATGAATAATAATGTATTGAGAAAGGTCAATTGGGCTTTCTGTCTAAAAAGTTAAATATTCAGTGCCTGCTTCTGCATTTGTTACCAAAGCCTTCTTTATCGGTACAAGGAGGCAAATGATACCCTGAAAATGTTTTAAATGTGCAACTCTGCTTATCTTCCTGTATTAATGATCCCTACGGCAGCTGTTATATTAACCTTCTCACACAGCACAGCAAGAGGGGAAAAGTACTGTGAAAGGAAGGAAAAGAAAAGACATTTAGTTTAATCTTGAGACCCTTTTTTCAACCTAGCCATTTTCTGACTGTCAAGGGGGAAAAATGAAAGTTAGGTTTTTACTGGGTTTTCTTAAAATCTCAAAAAAGAAATTAGACATTTCCAAAGGGGTGATTCACTAGACATCACATACTGTGAAGGGGACAGAGATTAGATGATCAAATGAAAGGCTCATTACGTGAGTTCTGGGTTTCGTGAGGTCCATGAAAGAGCTCTGAGCAGGAGACAGTGAGTGGCTCCTGAGAAAGCCAGGCTCTCCCTCAAGGCTCTGAATTGCCCATTAGTGACTATGACATTACAAGAAACACCGTTTGCCCCTCAGAGGACTTCTGTATCCTTCCTCAAACAGTCTCTGTGTTCACACAGAGGAAATTCAAAGGCTCTGTCTTTTCAGCCCTTTTAACTTTGACAACAATACCAAACCTGACCCTGAGACCCCTCTACCTTCTCATTCTTTCAAGGTGCTTGGGAAACCACCTAACTTTATGATTGAAATTAATGTTTCCATTCGACTGCAAATGCTGGAGCTCAACACACATGGCAGCAGAGTGAACACAAGCCCCTTCGGCTTCTTCAGCCAGGTAATACGGCTCTTCCTTTTTTTCTTTTTTTTTTTTTTTTCCATTATCCCTTTAATGCAGAGCAGGGCTACTGATTACAAAGAGGCAGTTTGACTCCAGCAATAGGTCTTCTTCACTAATCCTCACTGTCATGGAAATTCCAGCTGCTACAAGAATAAGAGGTTCAATCCATATTTGCCAGCTCTAATATGAAATCTGTCAGAGCCCAAATTAATGAGTTCCAAATTCCTTACATCACGATAACAGGTTAAGACTGGTCAATTAATTACATAAATCCTTCCCGATTCATTGTGCGTTTGCAGTCCAGATTGTGTCTTACATTACTCCATGACACAAGGCCTTTTGGCTCCTGTTGTTCTGCAGAAAGGCCCCATTTAAGTGGAGGCTGCCTGCCACGGCAAAATGTTAAATGTCACACGTTAAATTTGTACTTTTCTGTAATTGCTTTTGTTAAAAAAAAAAAAAATTAAATTAAAGCACAGGGCTCCCAGTACACCACAATGCAGACGGCTGGGATGGTACCGAATGGATCCCCAGGTGCGCAAGTAGCTACCTTTTACCTCCAAAGGTTCGTGTGTCTCTGTGCCAGGTGCTTGGTAGGCAGTGGAACCCAGAACATGCATATGTGCGGAAATAAACCAAGTTTCCCCAGGATCTATGGCAGCAAAAATATATATTTGGAAGATTCTTTTCTTTATGAAAGGATTAAAATACCTTTCTTTACATAGCCAGATTCCCTTTTGTCTACCAGCAAAAGTTAGATGAAACACTGTTGATCTAATCACCTGTTCAGGAGCCTGCATTGTACAAATGAGTGTGTTACACTTGCATCGGTCTTTGCCTCCAAAAAGATGTTGCTGATGGCTTTGCTATTTGGATTTGTAACTGGTACACATCTACAGAGGGAAAATCATTGAGGATTAAGATCTCAACGGAGTTCAAGAATCATCCACGTCAAAAGTTTTCCTTTTTAAAACATCAAAATGAGCTTGGAATCACAGCTCATTTGAACTAGCCCTAGAACTGTGGACTTCAGCTTCCTAGGGCGGCCGGTCTTCACCCCAGTACCGTTCCTCGTGGAATGGACTTGCATGGGCCTAGGGGCTCGGTATTGAATGGAACCAGTCCCCGGATGCTTCCTGCATCAGGGGGATTCTGCGAATACACGAACGAGCAGACGATACTCCTCAACACGGACTGAAATCTATGTGGGGCGCAGGTTCCTTCCACCTGGAACCCCTAACACCACTCCACCACTCGGACAACCAGCCAGACCCCAGGCGGCGCGTTCTCGGGCGGGCAGCTGCCGCCGCGGCGCTGTCCCGGCAGCGCCCCCCTCTGTCCTCCGGCGGCCTTGCACTTGGTTATGCCACCGGCCGCGCGCCTCTTTTTTCCGGGCGAAGAACACCGCCCCGCTTCTGGGCCCGCAGCCTAAAGCGGTGGAGGACTTGTGTCTCCCCGCCTGTTCCTCACCCCCCCTCCCCCGCACACACAGACATTAAACTCTGACCCAGGGCCGTTTCTGGACCCGGAGGCACGCGCTTCTACCCCCGAGGCCCAGTCCGGCCACCAAGCGCGACTGTCCCCTCCCTCTCCAAACGGGGGGAGGGGAGTTAAGGCGACGGCGCGTCCGCCCGGCAGGCTGTGAGGTCCTGGCGAGACTGGAGAGGAAAGAGGTTAACTAAGGGGTGCGGTGCGTGCGCAGATAACACATAGGGAGCGCGCGGTTGTGCCCCAGCCTCGCCGCGACCCCGGGGCGGCACGCCGTCGCCCCCTCTCTCGCACCGGCCGGCGGGGCCGGGGGCCGCAGCGCCGCGAGCATCTGCAGAACAAAGACCCCGGTCTAGACCGCAACCACAACGCCGCCGCCGCCTCCCCCGGCTCCGGCGCGGCCGACCCCGGCCCAGCCGTCCCGAAACCCACCGGAGCGGCGCGGTCGCGGCTCCACGCGCGCTCACAAACCCAGCGGGGCCCCAGGAGACCACTGGGCCCGGAGGCCTGGGGCGGGGGGTAGGGGGGCATCGCTGTTCAAAGCTCCCTCCCACACCAACCCCCCCCCCGAGGTCCCGCTGCATTCTCGTTTTCTTAGTTTCCAAGCAGCCAGAGTTGTCATTTGCACATTGGGAAGGGGGCCTCGCGGTGCCCACGTTGGCAGCAGGTGGGGCAGGGGAGAGGGCGCTGCAGGTTTGTGCTGTAAATCGCTGTCCTTTTGCGGTTGTTGTTTCCACTCACCACCCCCCGCCGCCCCCCACCCGGGTTTTCTTTTTTTTCCCTCCCTTTCTTTCCGCAGCGCAGTTGCTATGGGTTACCAGGGCGGTTGCCATGGGTTACCGGACCGAGGCCGGCTGGCTCGCTGCCTGCCACGCAGTCGCCGCCGCCGCCGCCGGCGGAGCGCCCGGGCGGGAGGCGGCGGGAGCGCGCGTGTGCGGGACGCGGCGCGAGGGAGTGTGCGCGAGCCGCCGAGGCGCCGCAGCCAACAGGCGGCCGAGGGTGCAGCGGCGGGAGCGCCACCGCCAGTGGGGCGGGGGCAAAGCTATAAAGAAGACGCAGAGGTAAGAAACTAACAAAAACACAACCACAAGTTACGCCCGTGCTGCGTCGCTACAGCAGCCAAGAAAGACAAGCGGTGTGGGGTTTGGGATGAGTGTACACTTCTGTGGGGGGCAGAAAGGGTATTTTCCTCTTTGGCAGAAGCCATTTGCATAGTGTCTTTAGACCAGAGTTTACATTCAGCAGAAAACTGTGGCTGAATTTTTTTTCCCCTCTTCTCTCTCTTTTGAAAAGAAGTCTTTTTGGAGAAAGAGAAGAGGATCATTAACTACCAGGGTTTGCGCAGCTAAAATAAATGAGTGTCCAATGCAGTGTTCATAATAATGATCTAGAAAAGTTTGCAACAAGAGTGAAGAGCAATTGTGTCTGACTTCAAGGGACAATGGTGACTCGTTTGTGAGATGCATATGGCAAAGAACGGAGGCAAAATCCTTCGTAAATATTTCAAATTTTAAAGAAATTGTTGCTTGCTTCCATTCTTCTACAATTTTTGAACTCCCTCTATTATAGTGTATTAATGTCTTAGGACTTTTATTTGCAAAGAAAATGGTATCTATGCTTTGAATGTCACACTGCGGTAATTAATTTCAGACGGCATTTCTTTTTGAAAATGTGTTTATATATAATAAAGTAAGAAAATGTCTATATTCCAAACAAAAAGAGAAAATTATGTTGAAATAAATGCTTTTCTCCACTGAAAAGATGCTACATTGAACTCATAGGACACTGACTAAGCAATTTAAATATTAAGAGGAAAACTATTTAGAAACAGAATAAGCTTTTGTTATTTTTGTCTTAAAACTGTAGGGGCCTTTCGTGGAAAAGGGTCTTCTTGATAGCTGAAATACCGAAAACTGTATTTGTACCACAGTAGCTCAATAATGATGAACCCTTAAGGCACCAAAAAAACAGAGTTCAAAACAGCATTCAATTTTCTGTTGGATATAACGGTAATTATGAGTAGGCTAAGTAAATTTGTTTATGTTCTTAATAGCCATAAAAGAAATTTTATTCTTTTACCTTACCATAGTAAGGTTATGGCATATCACTTGTTTGTATTTAATTATTCAATAAAATGTGCATTAGGCTTGAAAAGCTCCTGCAAGATACTTAATATCTTAAGGGACATAACTACTTAAAAATAAACATTTCTGTTTTTCCTTAATAATTTTTAAAAACCTGAAATTTTAACTGGAATCCAAATCACTTTCTTCCAAGTGAGACTTTAAAGAAGCCCTAAGTAACAGGTTGTTGACTTTCATTTTTGACACCTCTGGGTTATGTATAAAATCAGTTCTCAAAACACATAAAATGGCTTTACAGGTGAATCGATTTACCCTTTCAGAATTAGCCAGGGAAATACAGTTTTGCTGTATGTAAATCATAAAGCATCCAAGATTAGAATTCTTTAAATTTAAGTTCCATTAAAGACAGTTTTAAATAAACATCTATTTAATTTAGTTACTTAGTAATTATGTTCTTTTCCTTGAGAAAGCTTTATAAAAATATGCCAGAGAAAAATAAGGGACTAGAACAAAGCCAGAAAGCCATCGGGGGTTGAAGTTCACCTAAATAGCTCAGCTGCAGAAAATGAGTTTTAAGAAGCCAGTGCTGAGATACTACAACCCCCAAACCAAGGTGGTTTGAGCCTCCAAGGTGCACAACCGTAGTGACTATTAAACCAAGTCTTACCGAAGTTTCTCATTAAAATTTACTGCTGGTTCAAAAACACACTGCATTTAGGTGTAAGTCAGAAGAAATCTATCCTCTTCTATAGAATAAGTGAGCCAACAAACAACTTGATTTTTTCACGTTTAATGTGAAAACGATGATCTTATGAAGTTTACACACCACAGTAGTAGGCATACTTAATGTCAATTTTGATGGCTATGTTACATCATCTAAAAATAATATGACAATCGGTGGCACCTTACATGCTTTTCAAAAACTTGTAAAACAGAAATAATGTGAATTCAAATACACATTGCCAGCAAGCTAAGGATCGCTCTTAAATGACTGGATGGCAAACTTCACATGTTAGCAAGATAAAAAGAAATTGCTAAATCTTTTTTCCCCTGTATTAAAATAACGAGTCTTAGATGATAAAGTGACAAGATCCAAGATAGATTAAATCAAAATATTTACAAAAGCTCAATAATGTTTTGGACCAAACAAAAACAAGAAGGAAAAATTAAGATCATTCTTATTCTAAATTTAATTTTTTTCTGTTCTTAGTTATGAGCATTTCAAAGACTTTTTAATAATACAGTAACTTTTAAATTCCCAGTTAAAATAAAATGAGGTGAGGTAACATTTAATTAAAGCAACAAGTTATTCCGGTTATGTAAAAATATCTTCCTGGTGGTTTCAGAGATATTTCATACCATTCAATGAAGAAGAAACTTGGATAATTATCTCAAGAAAATGCTGCCTCATCTGAAATTTGAAGTTCAGTGTAGTTTATCTAAGACCTTTTATCTTTGGGCCACTAAAAAAGAAGACATTTTATTAAATGATACCAATCCTCAGGTGGATGCCTTGAAAGAAAGGACTTTTTAAAAATGAATAATTCTTAAATTAGCAAGTTGATATTTTTTTCTAAATTACGGGAATATTTGTTGATAAACTTACTAATTTTTGTAAGATTCCACTTCTAACTTGAAAATAAATGACAAAGAACCACCATTGACACTGAACGTTACCTAGTGATAAGAAATTGCACATTTAGTCCGAAAACAGTTAACCCGTAAATTCTAATCACACAACAATAATGAAAACAAACTATTTGTTTCCAGAAACCATGTGTGAATGAATCTGGACAATGAAAATGTATTTCTGAATCTATATACTGCAAATATAAGCAACATGACTAGCACTATTTCTGTTATTGTCTAAGACATCAACATTATTTTAACATGTCTCTATTCATAAGATACACTTTTCCATCTAAGTAGGACATAAAATACCGGAAAGGTGAAGCTTCTTAAAATATTTCAGTCAAACACCCAAAAGCAAAAAGTGTCTTTCCCAGTGCAGGGGAGGAGCCCACAAAATACCAGCCACATGTCTGCAGAGGCGGCCTGGTCTATGCCGTCAGGCTCCACAGTGGTTAAGATCACACAGGCTGTGTTTATGCGAACACTGTACCACGGATACAAGAAGGAAAGCGCTATCTGGATTTTTAAATGCAGGCTACCTATATACCTATTTTTTAAAATTGAGTAAAACCAAGTAGGTGTTTCTAAACGTACCTAACATTTCATCCCAGGGCAGGATCTTGTTTTTGCCCATAATGTTTGCCTCGAAAGGGGACTTGCATTCACAGGCCTTTTAGCTTTTTACAGAAGCTGAGCCAGAATAAGACAACATAAAAATAACTAATAAACAATGCAACATCTTTAAGAATTTAAATACCTAATGTCATGACAGTGAGCTTTAGGTAAGGATATATTATTAGCAAGCTTTCTTCTCCATGAGTGGACATCATTTGCTCTTCCTAAGATGGTAACATGAGAATTATTTTTCAGGATTCCTGTGGAGCGGTGCTCATTTTACATCCGTGTGAACTACTGTCATCACTGCTGTGTCCAAACCCAGAGGATGAACTGGGAAAGAAGAGAGGGGGAAAATAATAAAAAGAGGAAATTGGTTTTCACAACACACTCAAAGCCTGAGTAACAGAGGAGAACTTTAATTATCTCCAGTCACAAAAGAGAGACAGGAAATTTGGACTTTTAATTAGCCATTTGGAGTGCAGTTGGATATTTTTTTAGCCAGATAATTTAAACGCGAATAATTCAAGTCTGACTAAATGAAAGTCACATAATCAGAATGCAGATAATTGAATTTCTACTGCATTCATTAATTCAGTGTGGAGGTGTGTGTGAAGACTGCTATGATGAGCTGTCACAGCTCAATAAAATCTCAGTCAATTAATTTTTTCATTATCTTAGTATTACATCAACAAAAAAGTGAAGTGTGTCTGTATGTCTACACACACGCATATGTGCACTCTGTATCCTACAAACACATACACATTACATCGAAATGCAAGGAAATACCTTTCTGAATCATAATCTATATCGTTTTCTTTTTTTCCTTCTTCGTCTTCTTCAGGGAAACGCCGGTTCATCAAGGCAAACTTGTGAATGGCGTCTTCTACGGAGTACTTCGTCTGCCCAGAAACGCAAGCCTCGATGTCCTCCGAATTCAGATGGCTCTGCAGGAAGAGGTGGAGACAGCTATCTGAGAGCAGGAGTGCGTTCTGGAGGACCCTGTGTGAGAGGAAAAGGGAGAAATGATCAGTGGTTGGGGATGGACAATTAGAGGGTGAGGAGAGAGCAACACGTTAGAAGGGGGGCCACCAAAGTCCTCTCTCCACTGGGCAAACTTTGCATCAATGAAAGACTTTACCTATTGAAAGGATCAAAGCATATGTTAACTTTTTATTCAATTATTTGGAAATTTAGGTGAGTAAAAACATGGAGCTAATAGTTAAGAACATCTGTTAAAAGAATAACTTCAAGGACATTTCTTCAATTTAACCATCTGTTATGACCATGTGGATTAATTATGGAAAGATTTTGCTTATGGTCATAGAAATGTGTGCTACTCAAAAAAATTTTTTTACTGCCAACCAGCAGGTCGATTCTGTGATCTTTTTGGCAAACTGTCATGAAACATCAAAACTTTCAACGACTATTAAAAATTGTATTAAAAAGCCAATATGTCTCTCAGCATGTTTTACATTTTAAAACTTTACAAGTGTGCTTATGTACATGTTTACAAGGGCTGGGTTGAGAGCTGGCTTTTTTGGAAAACCTAAGATGGACTAGAAATCTCTCCATAATCTTCCATGGCACTGTGTTTCTAGTTGTTAAAATAAGCCACCAAATAAAATTACTCCAATGATTTTACCATATATACACTTAAAATACGATAATTTTGTGCTAAGTACATTCTAGCCTTCCTACATTCAAGGTCAAAGTTTACAAAGACAGTACAGATTTCAACCAGGGCATCAGAACTACATGGAAAACTAAAAAACAACTCCAACAATTCTGTACCTGCTCAAATTCATATTATCACCGAATGTTTTTTTTTTTTTTTTTCTGAAATGCATGTTTCAGAACAGGAAATTAAGCCAAAGTACACCCTTATTTTTAAATAAAAACTGGTTTTACCTTTTTAGGAAAGATCTTGATGTATGATCATTTCATCTCTATGAATAGTTCAATAATGATATATTACGAGGCACTCAGGCCCAACAGAGGGGACAAAACTAAAACACGAAAACCCGAGGATAATTTTGCCCAACGTGGGATTTTGCACAGAGAGCTCTATGTAACACAGATTATGTATTTCAGACCGAATGAACCTTCCCTTATATTCTGCATTTCTACACAAATAACTAGAAAAGTAAATCTTTTTTGGCCATTCATGTCAATTTACTTAAAATCCAAGGTCATTAGAAGATTTCCTTTTCTCCAAAATAAAAGAGTTATTTCTTCAAGGCAAAAGTCTACACATGTATAGCATCACAACCAAAATCTAGCTTCAACAGGCTTCCCAAATGTAGCTTGGGAAAATATTTTTACTGGCCTACTAAAAGGAAAAGTTAAACCTTTGTGCCTTTTAAAAGGGCAAAATCTCCAGCAAAGCAGCTAAGTACTTCCCCTCCCTCCCCATCCTCTGCCCCGGCTTCTCCCAGAAGATGACCATATCACATGATAAAGATTAATTTACCAAGTACAAGTAGTAAAGTAGTAAATCCCTTTTACTACTCTTTGAGATTTATTTTCTACATTTATAAATGTTTACCACTCTTGTTTTAAATACTTCAAATCAAGAGAAGATTTATAGGGCAACAACCCATTAATATTAACTCGCATTTGCCGTGAAGTTTGCACAGAGTTTCCTGTGTCCTGTCAGTGGTTTTCCTGCCGGCCATGAACAAGTAACTGCTCATAGGATTACGCTCACTGTTTTATTTCTGTTGGAAATGTGTTTTATTTTCTTTATAAAATAATAAGTAATCTTTAAAATTGATTTTAGATGGTTCAAGGCATTACACCACAAAAGTAATGAGCACTAATGCCAATGATATTGGACACAAATTCATTTTAGCTTTATTTCATGTCTAAAGCAATTCTACTGAGCCTTGAACTGCTCACGCGCGGTTATTAACTTGCTAGTAACCTAACACATGGGTACAGCAAACAAAAGTGATCAGAGTCCAGGTTGATCAGGACCTCAAGGCTACTGTCCTTTTTCTTGAGCTATAATTCAATTTCCAATTTTACTGTACATTAGACTCATTATTTCCAGTGTTTTCTTTTCTGCTTACTACTGCCATCTGGAGGACATGCCCATGAAAAGTGAGAGGGAGCCCAGCCCGCACACACCCAGCTCACAATTCTGAAGTGGGAGGATGTGGCCATGGTGGGGGGGGGGGGGGGGGCGGAGAGGCGACATCCGACCACACGGGCCTGGAGTTCAAAAAACAGTGCCCCTGCTAGGCACGGTTTTGGTTACTGGAAGGCCCTCTGACTGGCGGGCTAAATTTATGCTACCGTGCTCCATGGGGATGGGTTTTTAAATAAGCAAAACAACTTTTTAACATATTCATGATTTTTACTCTCAGGTATTTCATCTCACAATTAAAAATACCAAATTTTGGAAGTATTTTCCCACCTGGTTCGCTGAGCATAGCTAGTTCGTTTTAAGGAGTATCTGGTTTACTGTATTTCAGAGAATGTTGTGACTGCCATCATCATAATATTAAATCCTATTTTTACCTTAGTCATATTTGTGCCACATTTTCCACAAACAAATCAAATAGCAGAAAATCAACTTCAAGCTTGATATAAAGAGTACTTTGTAAAATGGTCAATAAAATGTCATCTTTATAAGGCTCCATAAAAATAAATGTATATAATTTTCAAGCCTTTATAAAAGGAGCAAAAAACAGCCTCTAGAATTTTAAAGAAATGTCTGAAAAGATATTTACAACATGAGCAAAAAGTTATTCCTTTCCCTAAAAACAACTTTAAACTAACCAAAGCAAATCCTGTTTTTCCCTTGTATTGGACACAGTTGAAAATCTGGTTTTCCTCAACATGATTTTATTAGGTATATTATATACTGGTTCAGTTGGGAACAATATAGAGCTATGTAAAACCACTTAATCCTAACTAAGGATGCCCTGTCTACTGAACCCAATATAATGATATATACACATGTGTACAGAGTGTGGAAGGTTAGCAGTGGGATGTAGGGAAAAAAAAATTAATTCAGCCTGTTTACCTCTTACCATGAGAAAAAAAAGAAAAAAGAAGACCTACAAATCTTCACTGAAGACATTCATGATCTGTGCTATGGTGCCCTCTATTGAACACAAAGACTTACAAAAAAGTGTGTGTGTGTGTGTGTGTGTGCGCGCGTAAAACTAGTGTTTCCATGGCATCCTTTTGTAAAAAACTATAATATTCCTTAAATTTTTAAGAAATACAAAACTGTAATATAAAAGTCTACACTGTAAGGTACATTTAGTTATATTAACGGGATGAATTCAGTAAAGAAGGAAAAGCTGGCTCCCATTCGCGGTATGAATCAAACATAAATTAGTAGGACTGCCATGTTTATAGTTGGTGACTTACCAACAGTTTATTATTTTAGTCCGTAACTTTCTTTTTCCATAACTATTAGTAGAAGTGACTTACAATCTATAATTAGCCGGGGGTGGAAAAATCCAAAAGGGCGATTATAGCCAAGATGGAGAGAAAATGAATATGTTTGAAAAATGTCACAATCATACTGACCAAATTTAGCTAGCTTTAAGAGTTCTAGTAATTATAAACTTGCCAGTTCCGGGAATTAATATGATGCCTCCACCTTTCCTATAATTTCCTTGTGTATAAAATCAAGATGATACCCAATTCCTAATAATACTGTAGGAACGGAGATAAAACATGTAAAAAGCTAAACACAGAGCAAGTGTCCAATACATGGTATAACCTATTATTTGGCACTTAGAGAAATAACTTCTCAGTTCCTTTATATAGACTGGCCTGGATATGTACTTTGTTATTAAAGATGTATAATTTCACCTCAAGGTGAAAAAAAAAATTCTAAACTTCTAAGTTTATACTTATAAACACACATATGTGCAGAAACAGCAGCATTTTGGTTTTAAAGCGTTTGAACATATATAGTGTTCTCAGTTCAAAACTTCAAAACCTCCATAAAACACCAGATTTTAAAAATACATGCTAAAAATCTACAGCACAAGCATATTTCACATTTTAATGCTGGGGTGTCCTCTGTCTCAAGTTCCTAAAAGTGCTCTACAAAAAAACAAAGTGCAGGCTATTGATAGTGACCTTCCTTAACAGGCAGCCAGTGGGGCCTCAGGGGATGTCACGCTGGGATCAGGACCCAGCACCAAGCCAGGCCGAGCTGCAACGCCGAGTCCAGCTTCCCCAAGTGGGCTTGGGCTGAGGGGATCCCAGGGTCAAAGACCTTCGAGGTTGCTACTTCTACACAAACTGGGCAAAGAACAGGAGCGCCATGCACCAGAATGTGAGGGGCACAGAATGGAGGGTGAGGAGGATCCTAAGGGGCCATTTAGGTCAGGCTTGAATCCAACCGTGTGGTGGATAGACTCCTTGCTTCCTTCAGGTTCAAACCATGTGGAAGCACCAGCTGTCATCTTTACTGTGAAACCCATCAGCTTGGAGACTAATGTTCACATACTATAGTGGGACAAATGAAAATACAAGGGAACTCGGTGTCTGCTCCATGAGTGGACTTCTGGGTGATCATCCAGGTCCAATTTTTTTTTTAAGGCTTTATTTATTTATTCATGAGAGACAGAGAGAGAGACAGAGGCAGAGGGAGAAGCAGGCTCCCTGCGGAGCAGGGAGCCCGATGCGGGGCTCAATCCCAGGACCCCGGGATCATGACCTGAGCCGAAGGCAGACGCTTAACCGACTGAGCCACCCAGGCGTCCCTTTCCAGGTCCAATTTTAACAAACTTAGCTATCCCCTGATATGGATACAGTACTTTCCCACTAGAATGGAAGCTTCAAGAGGATAAGGATTTGTGTCCATTGTGTGCGGTCCTGTTTCCCCAGGACCCAGCCTGGCCCCGAGTAGACACTTAACAAATAGGTTTTCAGAGTCCTTTCCAATGCGTCATCTTAACGACACAACCAACAAGGTCAAGCAGTACCTGTGTTACATGACTGCACTCTTTATAGCAAACTGAGACACACAAGAATTAAGGGACTTTTCTGGGGCGCCTGGGTGGCTCAGTTGGTTGATCGACTGCCTTCGGCTCAGGTCATGATCCTGGAGTCCCTGGATCGAGTCCCGCATCGGGCTCCCTGCTCGGCGGGGAGTCTGCTTCTCCCTCTGACCCTCCCCCCTCTCATGTGCTCTCTCTCATTCCCTCTCTCTCAAATGAATAAATAAAATCTTTAAAAAAAAAAAAAAAAAAGAATTAAGGGACTTTTCCAAGGTCAGATAGCCAGGAAAAACTTAGGAGCTGTGATTCCTGGGAGACCCGGAGCCTAGCTCCTCAAGCTTCTGATCCCCGATCCCTTCCGCTAGGATGTCTGCATCAAATGCAATCAGCAAGCAGCCAAATGGCACAGTATGCAGAAATAACCGAGCACCAGCCTGCCTGCCTTGCAGCCGAGCGACCTCACTCAGTCACTAACTTGGGAGATCAACCATGGAAGGAAAGGTCGTTTTCAAAACAGTGACGTGATTCCTGGTCAAAAACACACGCCCCATGCTGAACTCCGGATATAAATACAGAGACACGTGCTGTCCTTCGACCTCCAATAAAGAGACTTCTCTACAGAAGAAAAGCAGCTTCCCGGGGCTGACAGGGACTGCAGGATTTGGCTGTCCCCATCCAGGCCTCACTGCCAACCGCCAGTCCATGGCTTCCCCGAGCCGCATCTGCACTGACAGGCCACTCAGCAAACTTGGACTCATGGGCCACATCTTAAGGGAGACGCCATCAGCCACCTGGGTCTCGGAGAGACAACAATTAAAATCAGAGCTGTCTCCAAAGGGAATGGGCAGAAAAAACTTGACCAGGCCTTTGTTCTGTCACGCCTGTGAGATCCAAAAGAATACCACTGAAACGGTCCCTGAGGCCTTGGCTCACATAATGGGTGCTTCTGGT